AGCAGCAGCCTGCGCTGAGTCACAGAATTGAAAATAATGTCAGGCGTTAGAGAAGACGAGTCACCAGACTCCCAGGACCCAAAAGTCAACATAACTCAAAAGCAGTGCAGACACGGCTGGATACTGCCCACACTGCATAGTCACAGGCTTGAATTTCCTCCTCCAGGAGACGTGTGTGTGCTTCGTTGAAATATACCTCAAGGACACGTGACTTCTTTTTTCTTGATTGGTGCAGTCCTCGCTTGTGCTGAATGTACGTGTAGCGCGTTAGGCAGACAACAAAAGATGTCTTTACACCACAAACCACAGGAGGAACTAGCTCTCACAAGTCATTTCGACATGCTTACCTCGTTTCTCTGGTTAGCAGCGTGGGAACGTTGTAAAAGTGAACTTTCAGCTGAGCAGCCAGTAGCAGCAACCCATATATCTGTGTTAACTGCATGTCTTAGCTATCACTGCACCACCACTGGCAGTACAGCTGGCTCATCTCAGCCATCCAACAGCTTGCGATGGTGTGGTTGTGGGCGGTGTGAATGTTGTCACTCTTCAGCAAGTCCAGAGACCTGGAGATTTTTTCTGCAACTTCTTCTCTTTCAGAACAACAGAGAGACTCTTTGTAGGCAATGACAGGAGTGCTTCCTCAGTCAGTCAAAACTTGTATTGATTCTGCTTTTGTGCCGTTGCTCACAATAACAAAGAGTGGAGAGAGGGGCGACAAAGTGCGAGAGTCTAAATTTGTTGACATTGCTGTTGAGATTTGAGTGCAGTGTCAAGGTCCTGCTGCTGGCTCCCACAGGGTCTGATCAATGACAGTCTAAATCAGTATATGTCCCTTGACACCAGGCTACGATAGAAAAGAATATCTCCCAGGTATGGCATCTAGCATGAAACAGGCTTTTAAATGTTTCATTTTTCTTTAAATAATTGTCACTTATGTTTTAACAATTAAAAAATATGTTTGAGCTGGAAAGACAGTGTTAGCAGCTATTTTAGGCTGTACTTTGGCACATCAGTGCCTTGAGCTAAATTCATCACATCAATATGTTCACAAAGACAGTGTGGATGTTAAGCAGGTATGTTTACCATCTTAATTCTGCATGGTAGCATGCAAACATTTGCAGGTATTTTGTTATAAATAGAAGTACTGGACAAATTGGACAAACATTTTGACCTGATGATTACAGTAGATGAACAATTAAGGGGGTAATCAAGTTATTAAGGGCAATCCATTTTATAGCAATCCATCCAACAGTTGTTGAAATCATTTTACTTAAAAAATTCACCCCATGGTGATTCTAGATTTTAAGTCAGAGGACCACCAAAGTGAAATTTCTTATTTGGAGACCATGCAGGTCTATACAAAATTGTTTAACAATGCACCCAGTAGTTCAAGTTTGGATCAAAGCAGTGGACAGACAGACAGACAGACAGACATACAGACAGACAGACAGACAGACTGACCCACAGACTGGCATTGCCATCCCTAGTTACGAGCATAGCTAAAAACTAAATGTGGAAAAGAAAAGACAGAATTTGCTAATATGCCAAAAAAAAGAAAAAATAAGACAAGAAAAGTATAACCAAAATAAATAACAATTAAGGAGACCAGAATTCAGGAAATGAAATCACAAAGAGAAACACATTTTTGTGGTCAGTCAGCCATAACTATGCATTAACTGTACCCCAAAATGTATTACTGCTTAGCCTCCTTAATCCTCAAACAGGGGTTTGAAAGGATGAGCATGACTATTTAACTGACAGGAAATTAATTGTGAGGGTCTTACGCTCTCTGCTCGTCACATACATGGCACCTTAAATGTGCGTGCTTGGCCCAGATTTTCTGGAAGAAAGCTTTTGGTTTTCATTCGCTTTCCAGCCCTGAGCTTAGCATTTCACAAAGTGCCACCTCAGCAAAGGGCATGATTAATTCTAATAAGACTTGAAGATATTTTTTTTTCCTGCTATATGATTCTGTTACTTCAAAGGACAGATTTCCAATAGTAATGCAAAATGTGGACCTTTTGTAAACAAAACGTACAGCGCTGTTAATGTATCTTTGTTATTTATGTGTTCTTATCCAACCTAAAAGCAATAAAAATATAGCTGTGAATGCATGCTCAGGTTTTTATGATAGAAGCTATTAAAAATCTGTCTCTTGTACTACTGTCAGTATGTAAGTTTCCAAAGATATAACAAAAAGCTATTTTACAAAATGTTACCTACTGCAGTTTTAATCTTGATTAAAGTGTCAACAAAGCGGCTCTAGCTGTTGCTTGCTAGTTTGCACATAAAACCTCCAGCTTGCAGATTTGCTCATATGCACAATTATTACTAACACAATAGTTGAGGCTACAGGCCTGATGGGGGGCTGTAGGCTACTGTATGGGAATAATTTCAGAAAATAAAGGATATAAAAGTCAGCAGGTCCTGAGTGTTTTAATTTATATACATTCTTTCTTATTAGCTCTGAGGCTGCAAAAGTCTGTTCCCTTTTGCTGTATAATTATAAGTGAAAGCTAATGAAGCATAGTGCCAGATGTTGTGGTTTTATCTAACAACCCAAATGAAAGCCTTTACTTTAATAACCCACAAAACACAGACCTTCTTTAAAACCACAAACATGTTCCAATATTTACATCATAGCTGCAGAACAGCAAAACATTTGCTAATGATGGAGAATACATATTCAGCAACCAGTGTCATAAACAACTGGAGCTGTGTTTGCAGCCCATCCATATAATCCCTTTCAAGTGCCTATCTGAATATTCATTAGTGAACCTTTCCACTTGAAGTTGTTCAAGAAACCCCCTTCTTATGGAGCAGTTGTAGTCATCCAGTGAAATACCTGCATCAAAGTGTAACCAACTGCACCTTTGAATGTTAATGTTAAAGATGGGATACGTGGCGAAACCGCTTTGATATGCATGATGGGATACTTCTCCTGACGGCTCATTCTTACGCTCTGGCCACAAGGCCTTGTTTATTAAAGCAGAGGATCCAAACGCGGCTTGTTGTCATTACATAAAGCTTTGTCATAATTTATCTTTGACTGCAGTGCTGTTGCCTCAAAACGTTGTGATATGCATGGCCAACCAGTCCTGTCTACTTTAAAGTCTATTTCTATCCTACTATTGTCTATTTCATTCCAGCTATTTTACTGGTGAAGATGTGAACCAGTCAGCCAACCACAGAGCCTGTCAAACTGTCAGTAGTTATGAAAGCCATTCACAGCAATCACATGTCATGTTACCAGTCGGGTAGCAGAGCGGGAGAAGAAAAACAAAAAATAAAAGAAAAGGTAATTACAGTGCTGAGCAATACAATATAAAACGTTTTATACATTATGTCATGAGCAAATCTTTTCTTTTTAGTTTTGTTGCTATTTTGTGCAACACAATGTGCACAAAAACATCTAAGCTCATATTAACAGCAGACTATATGCAACACCTCATACCTCAGGAATATGTCTCATAAGATACCAAGGCCAGACAGGACACGTTTGCATCGGTGCAGAGTTTACCAAACTAACCTACTCTAGTATACAGATGAGACAATTTAAAGTTAAAACCAACACAAACGCTCCGGAGTCTCTGGAACCCTCTCCATTCTCCCGCAGGTGTTCAGTTGATTCACAAAATGTTCATTCTCATCAAATCATTCAATGAGCCTCTGTGTCCTGTATGAAAGCATCTGCTTTTGTCATTTTTCTCCTCTCATTCATTCAGGGCTTTTCCATTAATTTGGAAGCCGAGTTGAAATTTACAACTAACTGATTTAAAACTGCTCATGTAAAGCTCTTCAAAAGCACACTCAAAGTGAAAGTCGAGGTGTGAAGGATCTATTGAAGCATGTAGTATTTGTCAAACATTTTACTCCACGTACCACCATTAGGCTCTCCAAGTACCAACATTATGACCAACACATAGAAATACTTTAGGCCGACCATATTCAGCTATGGACAGTTCACACATTAATGTCACGACCTCTGACAGAATATTGGTGGACCCAAATGCACGACTCTGGCACAGACGAAGTTGCAGGAAAAAATGATATTTATTTATCAACAAAAGGTGCTCTCTAGGATGATATCAAAATACAAACAAAAGTCGCTCTCAAGGAGGATATCAAAAAATGCAAACAAAAGTCAAACTTCAATTGACACATGAAATAACCTGGACTTTGAACTACAACACTTAAAGATACTCACTGACTTACTGAACAAGACAAACTGACAAAGACAAAGGGAGACAAGGACTATTTATATCATGTGTAAGTGAGAACAGGGAAAAGCAATGCGGGGCAGACAATTACAAAGGCGGGAAAATCACACAAAGGGAGGAAGTCAGGATTTAAATAGTGAGTACAAAATAAAACAGGAAGGACTAACATGAAAACACTTAACATGACTAAACTTAACAAACTTGACGAGACACAACAATTAGGTATTATTATTCCTAATTATTATTATAACAGATTATATATTGTTGACTGTTGTTGATTGAAGTGCTTTTAAACCCTTCCATTTACCTCTACTTACTACCATCACATTTGAGCTCTTAACTCATTGATGCACGTGCGCTACGTGTATGAATGTGACTACATTACGAAGCAGCAGCATTTGAAATTACATTTTAGTGTCATAGTTTGAATTTTGTAGTACTAATATATTTTAAATTGTTATTATTAAATATAAATACTTCAGAGATTCCTCTGCTTACCACTAGAGAGAGTTCGCATACCACCAGTTTAATGCTACCGTAGTAATTTGTCACTTCCACTTTTTAGTGTGTGGCTTTATGCTTGAGGTGTTTTACTACTCTGCAAAGTGTGAACTTCTGTGAGAGATAAACATGTAACACAAGAACAGACGTTTTGTTAAATATACATGTGTGTTAATTAATAAATGATTGGACATGCATAAATAACCCTTTTTATTCCCAGTGCAGCTCACACATTTGGAATACTGGCTGAGACTAATAAAAGGCGTCTTGCTGAGATACCCATGTCTCACTTCATTCAGCTGCCTCCTATGTGGAGCCTTCAGCAGGAAGTGAGTCATTCCCTCCTGCTCCTGTGTCGGTGGTGAAGAGATGAGCCGCATGACCCCAGTGCATGATTAATTAGTGATCATTATCCCATCTCCGCTCTCCTCAGTGGCTTTGTCCTCGCCTTTATTAGCATTGCTAGCTGCACCACCAGCCGCCTTTTGACGTGACTCTGGAACATGGGAATGTGGGAGTAGTCACAGAGGTCTGGCAGAGGCTGTCCGTTCTGATCGGATGCCTTGGTGTTATTCTAAAGTTCCTTTCTTTGCCATGAGACGAAAACGAAGAAGGGAAGCAAGCAAGGAAGGAAGGAAATGTTCAACGGGTGACAGCAAGGGTGTCATTAGACGTCTTTCAGAGGGGCGTGAGCGCCTGTGTTATTGTGCCTCAGTTAAAAAGTAGCTCATTCATGGAGAAACACAAGTAAACAATGTTTTAAATTAACAGTCATTCATCAAAAAGTGTGTAATATGCTGGTTTTTATGGAATGGTAGTCTACATGTATCTGTGACTGGCATGGACATGTAGAGGAAATATTGCATTATAGATACTTACTTATGCAGAATGTTTTCAGCAGCAGACCTTTGAGGAGTCAGAGAAGCTATTAGATGAGAGTGTAATCAGTTAGGAAGAGAAATCAACCAGGGCCCTGTTCTTTGTGTGCTGATCACAACTTTAGTCCAGGGTGATGTCAGTCTAGCCAACTAAAAGTTTCTGTTATTTCACCCAGTTTGCTTATTTGAATACAAAGCTAATACTGCATGACATTGCCTAAGATTACTGTGCATTTTGAAATTTGGGGAAAATAAGAGACACCACAATCAGTGTTGAAATGATTGACTGACCTTATACCATGGTTTAAAAACACAGCACCGTGTTATTAGCTGAGTTCATTTAAAACTATTATGAGCATAATCTAAAAACACATCTGAAAATGAAATGCAACCCTGCCAAAAACGGTAATGAAATGAGAGATTAAAGAGACTCTTACACATGGCATCAAATAAAATGTGTGGGACTAATTATGATTTCATCTGTAGCACAGGATGCATCTCTGTAATGGCTTGGATTGAAAAGGTGTTTCTAAGGTTTAAATCTTTCAATTGTTTGACACATTTCTAGAAAATGAAAGATCTTGGATTACGCAGTGTGAGTGATTCAAATAGAATTCAAATTATATTGTTCCCTTCAATTTACTGCTTTTCCTGTATACTGTCAGTTCACTGATGGAGTAACTTTATGATCCAGCCAACAAGCTAGCACTTTTCCATCCATGAAAATGACTTACTGCAGTTTTTAATGTGACTTTCTTTTAGCCTGATAATCAGATTCAACTATTTTATTATACTTCATCACTGAGCCTGATATGCTGCTCGCGTCAGCCAATTTCTGTTTGGAATGGGTGGCTAGTTTTTGCCCTAACCAAGTGGGTGACATAGCGGCACGTTGGTCCCACCAACATCACTGTAGTGGTAGTGGTTGTTACAAACTGTTAACCTCATCAAAAGAATATGCAGATTTAAGCGTTGTATTTCGGTAAGTCAACTTGCAGCAACCCGGGTAGCTGTGTATATCTCATCCATTGTCTATGTAGGACAATGAAGCTCTGATTGCTGGCTTGTTTCCCGAACCGTTGGAATGGTCTGGAAGTACTTTACTTTATTATCAGAATTAACAAGCATATTTTATATTTTATGATAAGCTGTGAGTAAGTTTGTGATTTACCAACTGAGCTAAAATCAAAGCGTCTTTACAGATGTGTCACGTGCACAACTTTTTTGACAGATTGACCATCTGACATGGATCTTAACATATGCAGAAAACCATTATATGATATAGATATTATTGCATGCAAACACAATAAATACATCTCAGTATGTAACTGCAGTGTCACAATTCATCCTTGAGTGACACTCACACCACTTCCTTAACAAGTTCGCTGTACTCACTCATGGAAAAGATGAGCTGTGCCTCTGATTTTGGAGTGCTCTCAGTCCAAGGAGGGATGCTCAATAACAGCATCAGTGAGCCCTAAGAGCTGACCCGTCTCTTAACACCTACTCTGACAGCCACACACCTTCTGATTACCTTTCATCTGGTGTGCTGCGGGGAACGTCAGACACTCCAATTACATCTGCTAATGGAACAGCCTCGTCTCCAACCTGGCTTTCTATCTAGTTCTGTGTGTGGCAGCAGAGGTGAGAGAAAAACTGGATTAAAAAAAAAAAGGTGGATAGAAGCCGGGAGAGTGTACTTGTTGCTTTTAACTCCTGCATGCCAAAAAGAAAGAGGAAAAGAAAAGAGATAAAGCAAATATTAATTAGTCATTTGGTATAATTAGTCATTTAGTATAACCATTAGTGACTCATGCACAGCCACAGCTAAGTGCCTAGAATCAACACTGAAATCACACAGGGCAGAAATCTGCTGCCGCTGCACAGGGTTGGCGCTACATGTATTTGTGCTGTACCCCAATCAGTTAAGTCACAGCTCTTGTTTATCAAACCTGCAGAGGCCTCACTAATGAGGCTGCGGCTACAAATCCAATATGCTAACCTTAACCCTAACAGGATGACATGACACTTTTCCTGAACTGTCAGACAATATTTACTATACTGAACACTTATTTCTAAGTAGTCCTTTTTAAATTTCTGTCTTGCCTAGTTAATGAACACTGATTTTTGCTTTTTTAAAACAAAGATTTAATGGAATCAGATCCTTTATATTTAATAGTTTCAAACATTAGCATTAAACATTTTTTGTAAATAATGTAAGTTACATTAAGTTTCAGTATGCAACCCAGGAGTCTGTTGCGCAAAACTGATCAAAGTGGAGTATATAGAACTATATTTGTCTTCTTTTCATTTAGGAAAATTCAAATTCCGGGATGGACGATACATTTTAACAGACTCTACCCTTTTAATATTGCCACATAGTGTTCTTATAAGACAAGTCACAACAAGAAAATCAAAGTTACTTTTACTGAAGAGTTCTGCTGTGACAGGCTGCAACACTTGCTGCAGTTACCAAATTCAAGTTGTTAACTGCAGCAAGTTATGGCTTGTGATTCAGTCTGATCTGTCCTGGTTGCCTGGCCTGGGCACAGACGGTGGATAACTCCACTCCAGACAAGTAACTCTGAGGGGGGTCTGGCCACTCGTGTATCTCACTGTCTTATCGTGCATCATTATGCCTGGGAGTCTATCACACTGCCTGCAGCCTGAGTAAACATTAAGTTGAGCCATTATAATAATATCAATATAAAGTTCACAATAACATAAAGTGTGATGATGGAGCATAAAGCACCAAAAGGCACCATGATGCGTGATAATGGAATCCAAATGAATACATACACAAAACTATAAGGATTTTACATGAAAGAGACTGAAAATGTGCCCAAAATATCATTTATGGCCTGCTGTTTCCATGTTTGTCCTTTAAGGATAAAAGGATGAATGTTTTATTTGCCTTGTAACAATCACCACATGGCGTTTCTACTGCACGCCTGTCTCCTAGACTTTGAGAATGAACACAGGCTGCATAATCATCACTGAGGCTTTTTTCTTGAAACTTCAATAAAACCCTGTGGGCCATAAAGTCTACAATGATTACAGAAAGCTCAGCTGATTTGTCAGGACATTTTAACGTGATGTCAACACTTGAATCGCACCATTTGCTGCCACTGTTTTACAGCCTCCTGGTTAATGGCGAGCGAGGCCCCTCTCTGGATCACGTCAGTAGCTTTTACTGTGATACTGTGGCAGCACTCACACAAATAATGACACCTGAGCATCATCAAAGTGTTCCCTTCAGACCCAGCTCCTGCAGATTGTTCTGGGAGGTTAATGTAGGACAAGACCTCTTCAGACAATGCAGGCTGCTCAACATGGGGGAGGGAAACAGCACAAAGACATACACATGGATAGAACTGTCATTTTAAATACTATCTGAAGGACAGTCACGACATATATTGCTATTGTCATTGTAAAAAAAAAACTACAGTTTTGGTATTTTTCACATACTCACTTGGTCTCTTGGGTTTCAGAAAATTCTACCATCATTGGCTTGAAAACAGAGGGAAAACCTTTTTGGATAACTGCCAACACACATAGTGGTTAAAGCCAAGTTAAAATGGAGTGGCTTAGCTCCTAAATGGCTGCTTCTTTTTAGAGATGGAAAATTGTCATGTGACTAATGATTTGTCTCTACAGCTGCGACTACATGAGGCCATGCTATTTATAAAGAGACAGACCAAGAATGAACATATACAGTTTCTCCTTAAATCAAGCAACATCCTTTTTTCACTCTATTATTTTACTCACAGGGGCCTGAAATACAATCTCTATCTCTCTCTCTCTCTCTCTCACACACACACACACACACACACACATTTGCACAGTTTAAAATCCTCCATACATTTTCTTGCAGTCTTGATGTCACTATGAGGTTCCTGGATAACCAACGGAGAATCCACTCACAAAGCTAAGCTAACCGACTGTTGCCTATAAAAGACAAAATAATCTCAAAACAACATAAATCAATACTGTCCTCTCACTCAACAGCTTCTTTTCTAAAATTCCTTGAATCCTATTTGCTAGTGTGGAGCTGTTCAGTCCTTCATTTGCTTATGGCTTTGTGAGTTACTGCAATAAACCCTGAATACCAGCAGGCAACAGGATATCCTGCTGAGAAATGTGGCAGGGATAACAGCTGCCGCTGATTTCTCTGAGCTCGCTCGATCATGTCCGATGGCACTAAAGCTTATAGAGGACTGTCACAGAGCAGAGTGGGGCCATTTTACACTCCTATCTGATGGGAAAAAGGTTGAGACCATCAGAGCAGCGCTGAGAGCTGCTGTACTGACAGACCATGGCCAGACAAAAGTGAATCTATCTGCGCCTGAGCTCTCCTCTCAATGGGAAGTCTTTGACATCTCCAGCCAGCTGTGCTGCAGGGGAGAGCTTCTTCCATCATGTTTATCGACTGGGAACTGTCCTCTAATTGAAAAGAGCTAGAATGGAGACTTTCATTTTGACTCCCTCTTCATGAATAACTCATCAATAGCTTTATGAATAACTAATCAATGATTCTAAGTCAAAGATCAGACATGCATCCTTGCAGAATTTAGTTGGAGGAAAACACTCCAGACTTTGCCTCATTAAAGACTGAAAATATGACTGAATCGCAAATATCGCCTTATCATCTGTCCACACTAAGGACGGAAACAAACAGTATCCGCATGTAATGGCATCACATGAGGGAGCAAGTGCCTTTGTGGGGAAATCCCAAGCCACAACTTGGCTTTATGACTTAGATGAGCTCAGAATGACCTTGCGCTAGGTACTACTTTGTCATCATAAAATCATAAAGTCTGGTGAGTGTCTGCTATTTGCATGTGCAGAGCAGAGAAACAAAAGACTGATAGTGATGCTTAATTATTTTTAGGACAGTGGACCATTTCTGCATAGTAAATAATTGGCACACCACACACACGTTGAGATTAGTATTACAATAATAGTTATACAGAGTATTTCCCTGGTGTGAATGTGTGTCTTGAATGTTAAGCTGAGGCACTGTCATAAAAGGAGTGTATACCAAAAATCCCTCCAAACCCTTCCTGCATAAAAAAAAGACAGAATGGTTTCACTGTTTAATAAAATATACTTTGAGAATGTATTAATGCTTTATTAAAGACATTTATAAAGACAATGTTTGATTAGAATCAATTAAATGTTCATATCCATGATTATATACATATAACTTGGCTCTGTGAACGTTCTGCAGTACATGGGTGCAGGGAAACCTCAACAAATCTATTTATTAATCAAATAAATGGATAAAGCATTAATAAATTAATGATTGAGGTTCCCTGATAGCTCACCTAGTAGAGCTGGCTCGCCCTGTGTAGTCCTTCTCCAGCAGCCATGGGTATAAGTCTGATCTGTGGCCCTCTGCTGCATGTCATCTCCTTTCTCTTTTTCTCCTCCCTTTCCTGTCTATCTTGAAAATAAAATAAAAGTACAATAAATAAATAAAGGAATTATTAACTCCACTAAGACTGAATTATAATAATTAATTATTAACACGCTAATGTTCAGTGTCTTGATAGCATTTAGTTTAGGCAGCAAGATTCTAACATTTGCTAATAAACAGTAAACTCAACCAATGTGCAGCTGAGAGTGTTAGTTCTGCAGCTATTTGGTCATAAATCAACATATTGGACAAACTGAAATGTGGTGGTGAAGGTGTGCAGTGTACTCTGAGCCTGGATGGTGGCCAGGATGAGCCATTATCATTACCAAACAGCTGCTGTCCCATGAAAACCTTACCTAACCCTAACCCTAAGTCCAGTCAGTTTCTTTGTGATCATTTGACATGATTTTGCATATCCCATAAGCAGGTAATTCAGATGTCATGACCTTTAAACACTTGGTGAGACATCCATTAAAAATTTACAGGCGCAATTTTGAAATTGTTTGGCTGTCAGCAAGTCCTGAAAAGCAGACTTATTAGAGATGCGCGGCTTTTGTTTGAGACGTAGAGCTGGAGCGAGGAGCAACACAGTGGAAAGAGTCAAGAGTTTGATTATGGCCAACAATGACTTATTAATGCATGCCTAAAGGCTACAGGATCTGACTGCAACATCCGCAGAATTTACAAACAGTTTATGATGATCCAGACTCCCAGTAAAGGATCGGACTCCCACAGCAACACTTTGTGGAGGACATCGACATGTTCATCACTGTGTAGGAAAGTCATTGCTAAAATGATCCTTTGGGCTACATATGTCAATATAGCCAATATACACAAATAAGTTTGCAATAATACATATAAATACATATAAAGTTAGACATTTTCACAGGTTGGACTTTTGGGAAGGAGGAGATTTATTACATTTAACACACTTAAACACGGACAGGACAAAAGACAAACAATGCATGCAGAAATAACTGAGGTAACATTTTGCTGGTTGAAAAAAGATAAATATTTTCTTCAGTGGCGTTTAATAAATACACCTTACAGTACAGTTAACATATATTCAGCACATACACGTAGTTGAAGGTATCATTAACAGTAACTGTATATGGACACTCTGTATCCATAGAATAAGTCTCTTGCCACATTACAGATGAATGAGTCCTGTTACATTTACACAGTCGTTACCTTTTTCCCAGAAAGGATACTAAGACCTGTGAGCTGCAGTGCCACAATTATTGGTTTACATGGCAACATTTTGACCTTTAACTGTCACCTGAGGTACTCTAACTAAGAGCAACAATGAAAAAACCAATAGGGCAGGAACAATCCAGTTAGCAGGGTTCTCTATTTCATTGTCTCACCATAATGCCATAAAACTGCTCTACATGTGAGCAGTCCATATCCCAGCCCGCCTCAGTAAGAAGCTACAGTGCCACCACGTGGTCATGGTTCAATGAAAGATATGCCCTGCGTTGCTCATACTGCGTGGGAGAAAGGTCTGTACGAGACCCACGAACAGATCCATGAACACATGCTGAGACCATGTGGCAAATAATGAGGCTTTTCATACAGAGGGGAGGCAGAAAAGCATTTCGCAACAACTTCAGACTGACAGCTGATTGAAAGGGTTACAATTTTAAAGCCACGCTCTCCTTAACGTGAGAATAAAAGTGAACTGACACAGAAACGATGTGTGTTGCAGCGACAGACGCTGCTGCCAGTCGTTGATCGATGCTCAGAAAATGGCATGAAAAGATCAGAATAAAAACGGCCTCAACTCAAACCCAGCGTTGTGCTTCCATATTTACAGACATGCACACAGCACAATTCCTATGATACACCAGTGATACAACAGGTAAGTACAGTTTTACGGCCATTGAGCAGAAGGATAATGATTATTGAGATAATGGGTTATAAGAGTGTCTTTTATGGCTGCCCCTGGCTGTGACCATTAAAGCTGTAGTTCCTATTACAGGGCTTAAATAATGATCCCATCTCTACTTGACACTTAAGTGGTTGTCCTGTTATCTGACAGCTCTGGAAAAGGGTGCCTTGCTTTAGGAACATCCCATTTAAAGCTTACACCGTGGTTTTTATCAGTAATTGAAATAATCTGAAGTCCTTAGAAGTGAGGAAGTTTGAACCTTTGACATCGGGTCTCAAATTTTTTTCCAGTGGAATGACAGGTGTGAATCAGTTTGCTCTTCTCTTCCTCATCATTGTCACATACATATTGTGCAGCTACAGCAGTGCTCACTTCATGACTACAAACATACATTTACCTGTTACATGTTGCTGTAATTTCAAAAGAAATATTTATATATACATACATTTGTACTCCTTGGGAGCAGTAACTCGCTGAGTATCACATTACTACAGTTTTCTGTTACAACCCCACGCTGGCTAAATGCATAAAGCAGATATGCAATCAAACAAACACATGTTGTTGATCAACTATGTGAATAATCATGGAAAGAAAATAGTGGTGACATCCAATGTTCTTGTCAGCTTTTTGAAAAGACTTTGATCTAAGCAGGTTAGGGGTAAGAGATGGAGGTTGTTTCTGAATAATTCAACTTAAAACCGACATTTAAAAAGGCATACAATAAATACTTTGCCTGAATACTGATATTCCCGAATATTTAAAAGAAATTTCTTTCCCTTGTTATTTAAAAAAGTGATATTAATGAAATAAATGAATAAGTAATTTGCTATCACATAACATTTACAGAGAATATAGTGTAATGTGAGTTGGGAGCACTGGATCAGCTGATCTCAGCTGATACCACTTTAAAGTCTTTGTTATTCAAACATGTGTTTGCCCAAAAAAGAAATATATTTGATTTAAGGATTACTGGATGGAGTCCAGACTTTGAATGACTCATGAATCATGAGTCATCATCCTGCTTCATCCCTGCTGGTCTCAATTATGTGTATGTCCGTGGAGGGACGGTATATGGATCTTATAGTGGTGTAGTAGAGTAGTTTGTAGTATTACTAGCACTAACCTAACAGACAGATCCCTACAGGTTATGAAAAAATGCTTTCTCCTCTTGCTAACTAACTTTTAAGTCACCCTTGAGCAAGACATGAACTCTAAATCTCTCCACTAGAGCCGGTCAGTGGCTTGCAGGAGATATTAGATTTCTGAATGTATTATAACTGTACACATGTAGCAGGGTTGTGCTGAAAATAAGCATGCTCAGGAACAACTCTTGCCTGGACAAATACAAAGTCAAACTGCTTGTTGGCTTTTCCCAACTGCACCTCTGACATGAAGGAGGAGCCTCTGCTTGGGGAGTTGGAACACGCTGCAAACACTGCATGGCGAGAAGAAAACATTTCCCTTCGGTGGTGCTGTGTTGGGGGTTAGTCCAGGGGAACCTCCGCCACAGTGGGTAACATGAAGGCTGTGGCCTGCTTAGATTCCTTCATCTTGTCCAGGCCGAAGAGGAGGTCCAGCTGGGTGACCGGCCGCAACCGCTCCTCGTCCACAGGTCTACAGAGGTCAGAGACACAGGCAAAAATAATAGCTGTGTCCCAATTCCACACTGTTTTTCACTATTGACTATGGCAACTCCCACCCTTGGATTCATAGATTTGAAATCCCGTTCAACCAATTATCCACTGACGATTGTATACCTGTTCTAGGCTGACTATACATGTGTTTGCATTACGTCCTGGTCCATTTTAACTGTGATGAAAAGACACTGGTGAAAGATGTAAAGGCTGCAAATCAGTCGGTGTTTTTGTTTTCCCTTAGAAGGAAATTAAACAACCAAACACTTGTGCTGTCGGACGCTAATCCAATTTTAGAACGCCACTGCCATTTAAACTTCACAAAGAAACGGCAAAATCCTTTTCCCACACAGTTATCTTTTGGGCTGTTGTTTTCACCTCCACTCGAGAGTTTACATTTTTTCCCATCTGCGAGCAGCTCCTTCATTTCCTGCACTGCATTGTGGGAGAAAAGTGTATACCAACAGCCCACCAAATAATGAAGTTATTTTGAGTGTGCATATGGCTTTGAGAAAACTTCAATTTGTGAACACACTACACACTCAGCTTAGCTTCGAATTATTTTCTTCTGTTTATTTCAGCAGCTTTACTTTAATAACTCTGCTGCTGGAATGAAGTGCACTGATTACAGAGAACTACAGTACGCTGCATGTTTATAGAGCCTTTAGCAATGTTTTCTGCTTCCATATAATCATTTGAAACAACATGCTGATGCCTGGAATCATAACTGTGGAGAGCTTAGCTATGAGTTTCGGGTTTAGAGTGCTGTAAAGTTCAAAATATTTCTTCTTTTAGCAATAATGCCCTCCTCTGAGAGGGGTTTCAATAGTCGCTTAGCAACAGCTGAAGCATGGGTTACACAGATCAGATATTTAGCCTTTTATAAAATATAAGATGTTTTTCATCCATCAACCAGATCCATCTCTGATACGGTCCAGTTTAATGACATACAGGACTTTGTGAAGCTCATCAGCACTCCAGTGGTCAACGGACCATGCCTAAATAAAAGCTTAAATGTTTTGTAAAGAAAACTGAAAAGAATGATTAGTTTGTGGGAGTATTTTGTAAAATATAAAGTTAGAAAGACAACCAGTATATACATCACTCAAAATAATACTGCCATGGGCTCTACAAACCCACAGCGATCTAACCTCAAACTGTTTAGGGCAGGTGCTGTAGTTAAACAAAGAGATGCTCGGGGGACAAAAGGCTATGAAATCTTGTGGGTGTTTGTATATGAGTCATACTTTTCCTCCTCCTGGCAGTCCTGTAGCTGCTGAGCGATCTGCCTCATCTGCTCCTTGCGGACGTAGTCCCGGACTCGGTACATGGCAGCATCGCGGCAAAGCTCCCGGAGGTCACTGCCAGAGTAACCCTCTGTCTTCTCAGCGATCTCCTTCAGATTAATGGCATTGCTCAGCTGAGTGGAAAAGCAGGACAGTAATAAGTGACAATTACATAGGATTAATCTGTTTGCTGTCACTGCTCTTTGGCAGTTTACTTTAATGTGATTTGACAGTGAAAATACAGGTGTGACATGACAAAAGAGAGCATTGTTCAGAATACATCACAGACAATTAACAGAAATCACGTCTTACGTTTTCTCCAGCTAAAATCAGCCTCAAGATGTCCTGTCTTTGTCTTGTGTTCTGAAAAGATAGAAGGACAGATGTTCTTATTTGAAATATATAGCTTGTTATAGTGCAAGTTATGAATCAAAAACAAAATGTGTCTATCAATCAGCAACTCATCACTTGTTTATTGACTTTTTAAATCAAGTGCCATTTTAACTACCTGAACAAATTATACTTAATCTTGTACTGTTTTCTCTGTTAAGCATCCACGGCTCACAAACATTTATATGTGACATGATGAAAGTGAATGTTTATTGTGCTGGATAATAAAAATATAGCCCATGCTTTTTGTGGTTTGGCCAGCAGCCATCAGACAATCTGAGACGGACAGTTCAGTGTGTTTATGCTGCGCTCCTTTACTTCATGTGTAGTTAAAAGCACTCAGTAAGACGCACCATTTCAATCACTCAATACACATTAGCTGAGTTCATAGAGTTCCTTATCTGTAAATACAAGCGTATTCTACTGTTTTTCACTCTGTAAATGTATGTACATTTAAGATTTATGATATATTCCAACATATTACATACTGTATGTATTAATGTGTATTCATTTAAGTTTGAAATTACGTTTTTACATTGATAAAAACGGTTTGTGTTGGTGTATGCGTCTTACTGGCAGGCCAACATGAAAAGTGGTGGGCATCCTGCGCAGAATGGCTGGATCCACATCCTGCGGCCTGTTAGTTGCTCCCATCACCATCACCTACAATAATAAGAATCACAATGTGAACATATTGATGACAAATCCACCCACTGCATTTACTTCTCAAACAAAAAAAAGGCACCACGTGGAACAAGCACTATGTCTTAGAGGCAAGGTTTGGTGCATTCCCAAATACGTTACGATATATTATATTCCATTTCTGCCAATAGCTCCTCCTAAATGTTACACACTGGACCTTTAAGGGGCAGGAGAGGTTGTACCCAGGGTTTACCAGTCTGACGTAACCTAGTAGGTACATGATGGTGTCAGAAAGTGTGCAGGTTGTTGTACCTGCGTGGTTGAGGAAGTATCCAGGCCGTCCCACAGGCTCATGAACTGGGCCTTCATCATGGCTGTGGCCTCATGGTCCAGACTGGAGCGGTTCCTCAGAAATGACTCTAACACACAAGAGACAAGGATCAAAAACTCATCTGCATGATAGACTGAGAACAACAGGTCCAAATCAGTTTGGGCAATTTCATGGGGATGAAATAGGATTAGGCTGATTATTAGCCTGATATTTAATAAAGAACGGATTTCAGCCTGTTGAGTTGTTGTTGTTGTATCTCTGATGTCCATTGAAAATAAAGGTCCATATATCTGCTTGGATACTCTCATTATATATTTTATTTAATTGTCATTTTTATCATTATATTCTATTTTTAAATCTACCTTATTTATCGTCTTGTCAATCGTCTGTGAAGCACTTTGAAGAGCACTAAACTGTATGAAAGGTGCTCGGAGACATTACTAAAGGCGCTGGAGGGACGGGGGGGTTGGAGGGAGGGAAGGGTGGGCTCAGTGCCAGGGCCTCAACCCTCCTGTTCCACTGATAGAGAGGACATTATGACTGAGTCTGTAGTGTTATGAAACCTGACTCACTACCCTTTTAGGAGCTGCTATCCTATCAAATTATTCTGGTTTTCAATGCTGTTTTGGATGCTTCTCTGATTTTGTTTCTGTATGAAAACTGTCAGAACATCAAAACAATAGCAGTATCAGCTTTTGCAAATCATTTCTGCTCCAAAGGGTAAAGATAAAGACAAATCACATCACAACAGTGCAGTAATACCATCATTAACAAGAAATCATTGTTGCCATGAATCCTTTCAGAGAAGCTCACCAATCTCATCGATGAAGACGATGCAGGGTTGGAGTTTGACAGCCAATGAGAAGACGGCAGCAGTTAGCTTCTGTGATTCACCGTACCACATGTCTGTCAGCGTGGAGGCCTGAAGGTTGATAAACTTGCAGCCCGAGGCTTTGGCTGTTGCCTTAGCGATCATTGTCTTCCCACATCCCGGAGGACCAAACAATAAAACACCTGCAAAGACAAAATATGAACAGAAAGTAGCCATTATTGTTTCCTGTTATGTTAAAACTTCTTTTAAATTAATGCACAAATTGCCCGTTTCAGATTCATTATTTTTTAATTAATATAAAATAGAAATTATAGTGTGTTTAAAAAAATGCAACAGTTAAGAATTTGACATTTACTTTTAATTAGGTATCATAAACATCAGCCTATCAGAAACTGTTAGAAACTTTAGTTAAACATCAGCCTATCAGAAACCGTTAGAAGACATGCCACACTATAAGATAAGCAGTATTACTACTTGTTCCAGGGGAAACTATTTTGTTAGCAGGTAGCAGAGAGTAAAATCAGACCATTATAGTTCTGTTTGGATGACATGCTGTGGTACCTTTGGGAGGCTGAAAGAGTTTGGATGCAGTTAAAAGGTGTCTTTTCTGAAAGGGCAGGATGACCGTGTCTTGCAGCTCATTTATAACTTCATCCAGACCGGCTATATCTCTCCAGGACACCTGCAGAAAGGTAGAGCACTGTGAACAATTCTGTCTGGGAAAGTGCAATGATAAAAAAAAAAAGGGTTAAAAAGTGTCATGACACTTCATAATTTCAACATCATGGAGGGGCTGAGGATTACAAATGTTACCTTCATAGTTTGCGGATCAACTAGCTGGGATGCAATGTTCATCTCGTACTCTGTGAGCTTGACCCCCTCAACACCAATCCTCTTCATCAGCTGCTCTGCCTGAAGAGATAAGACACACATCTCCGCTGAACACACAAGAGGATAACAGATAGTGTGTGAAATCTGTCACACTGACAGCAGAGAACCTGGATAAACAGCTACAGTACATCCACCATGAGCTTAGATAATACAACAATAACATAAGCTTATGTTCTATATACCCTTTTCTTGGCTTGGTTTTTCTGTTTGGAGGTAGGGTCCATCGCTTCTAACACCCATTTGATGCTGTAGTAGGTCGCTGCACCAAAGATGGTCAACCTCAGAAACATGCCCACCACTTCATTCCTGGACAAGGGCCGCATCAGGGCCTCTCTGGGGAGATCTTTCAGCAGCATCTTTGCTCGCCAGCATCAATCCGTTGACTGGAAGAAAATAATGTAGTTACAGTATAATGAGTACAGTTACACTGCATGCAGGAGTCTGGTGTAAGTTTAGCTTTGCTCCACTCTGTGGTGTGAACTATAATAATATAACACAACCCCACACTGCAAATCTGTTTAATTTTGCTTGGCAGTACATTCCTGCATTTAAAGCAGTGTTTAAAGCCTGTAAATTACATTTTACCCACACCTATTGCTCCTGGCTGACCACCAAAATACACCGTGAATGGCAGTGAGTAGGTTGAACCGAAACAGAAAGTTACCGTTGTATTACCATAACATAGCGCATGTTGCATAAGACCTATGCCGAATTGAATAGTGGCTGAGGGAGATTATCCATAAACAGAAAATTAAGTTTTGGAGTATGAACCTTAACATATGTACAGCAGACCATTGTTTTATTACATATTCTGAATGGAGGTTTGGCGTTAAATAGCAGTCCTCCCACCCAGACGCTAACCCGTCAGTCACTTGTTCATTCCACTTGGTATTTGAGTAGGTCGTTTACATACCAACACAAGGTCGCTATTGTACGGTACCAGTTAGCAGCATCCATGCTTTAACACCTAACGTTAGTAAGAAAGCCCTTTAATTCACAGGTTAGCATCTCCAGACGGGCTAAAGCTAACACAGCTGCAACTAGGCACCAAACTGTCACTTCCCAATGTAGCGTTTAGAAATACACCTACGGGCTAAATACAACATTCACCCATAAACACACATAAATGTAACACCCCTCGTAAGATAAAAGACAAAATAGTAAAACTTACCAGAAACGGGAACCAACAGAAATGTCACGAAAATTCCAAAACAACTAGCATTGAAGGTGCACCACGCTTTGTGACTCGGGTAGGAACAAACAACTTAGTTCCGGGCCCCACTTAGTCCCTGAGCACGCATGTGTCATACAGCCCGCCACTGGGTGGCAGAGCTTGCACACAGATGAGACACATCAGCACCATGGACAGCATCTTCATCACTACAGCAGGTGGACAGGACCGGGAAGGAAGGCTGGAATGGTGAAGATGCACTTAACAGAATTTGGACCAGCAACCGTTTATTGGTTTGCTGGTGATTCAGTATCCATGTTGTACTGCAGTTAAAGGTTTTGTGGGAAAGTGAGTATTCGACTACTGGAGGTTTGTTGAAAATATTGAATACATGTTGTTTGTTTGTTTTTTGTTTACTGTAATAAGGACAGGATAAATGCTTTGATGAAGTTAATCTGTGCCATTCTAAAATTTAGATTTACATTTATTTTACAGCAAACAATGGATATGTGTGTGCAGCATGTAATATTGAATATACATGTAATGAATTCTTATTTTATAATGTTTTAGTATGTATCTAAAATACGCTGAAAGCTAGACTGAATTTATGCAGATTTTTGCTTATCATGCCACAAAGTGTAAGACACACCAATATCTTTTGGAGCAGAATATCTTGCTGGGGAGGGCTGTGGATCTGTCGATTCAACTGTGATCAGGCAACAAACATCCAAGCATGTCCTGGGGTAGGCTACATGCAAATGTGGCCCAGTCTAGATGGTTCAAATCTGAAGCCCTAATCTTTGTTTCGTTTCCGCTCATTTCCAGTGCGGTCCGATAATAGATAATTCAGTCTTCTCATCAGCAGCCTCAAAGATAAGCCTGGAACAAATGGACTTCTCCTGCAAGCAATTTATCACACATGGGCCAAAGGGATTGTTAATTGTCACAGATTGTGAGCTAAATTTGAAAATGCTGTTACAGCTTGTATCCAGACTGGTCTCTGCTTCAGGATTTCACCAGTGAAATACAGAGCAGCTCTGCTGAGAAGAAACAGAAGTGTAGAAGTATAAAAGAATCTACTATTCCATTTGCAGCCTTTTACATAAGATGATTTAATGGATTTTGATATTTTCCCTAAAACTCTGAGCTCTTGCATAAACCTAAATGCTGCACCTCAAGCAACAATAAACAATAACAGTTTTCATTGTAAAATTCACATCAGAGTCCACAGTAGCTGTAGCACAATCTGGCCCAGTTTACCACACTTCTCTGTGAGCATAATAATTAACTGGATTTTGAACAATGTGCTAGAAACTGGGGATTGTCTTTTCATTATTTTTTTCTTTTTTGCTGTGCACTTGCTGTGTTGGTTAAAAAGCTCCAAAGCCTTTCCCCCCTTTGTAGTCCAATTAGTTGTCAAAATTGGATGCAAAATTCAAATCCTGCACATTTCCAGCTTTAACCGTCCAGCAAAGTTAAGTCCACCCTTGTTGAGGAAAATGGCACACAGACTGCTACTGTATTGCGCACACCTTTGGCTGTGAAAATGCTTCATAAAAAGCTTTAATCCTCCTGTACTGCAGCAGCGAGTCCCAGGAGATAGCAGCCTGACAGGGCCATTTTGATGGGTCTGGGCATGAAAGCGCAGGCTTGTGTATCTGCAAAGTGCAGCCGGGGCTCCCACAACGCCTTGCACCTCGCCCAAAACATCCACTCTCAAGCGGTGGGACCAAGAAAACACATTCAGCTCCCATGGCTGTCAACCTCAACCATGCCATAGCTGAAATAAAACTTGAAGCTATCAGTTTGCAGCTTTCACATGCCAAAGCTGAACTCTTTTGAGAAAACAGACTGCCAACTGATTGTTTTGCAGCAAGAGAAACAAATCCCTGTTGGTGGGTAATGCTTGTGCCATTATGTCTTATTGTATGTACTAGTCAGGTTATAACTTGGCATTTTTTCACGAGTGTGACTATTGAACCGTGAATATACATCTAACTTTTAACTGCATAAGTTAAACCATACAGTAAATGTTGGTCACACACAGAAGTTAATTACCCTTTCTATCTCCCTACCAAGAGATATTATCTCCAGCAGGATAAGGAATAATTTGGGAGTGGATTATTTATTTGCCTGTCACCCAGAGGAACTGAGAGGATTTATTTTTGAAATTGCTGGAAGTGGACGCTCACCTGTGTGTATGCACTACTCATAATAAGTGGACTGTATTTTTGGTCCATTCTGTTCTGGTCAAGTTTTTTCTCTAATGCGAGAAAGACAGGGACTTAAAATAAATAAAATATATAGTCCCACTTTCCAATAAGTCAGCCACTGAAGAGGGTTTGTAAGTATATACAATAAATTATTTTAGTAATGCTTAAATGGATCAGTGAGACCTTCTAATGGACTATTTATGGTGAACCAGGCAACACGACTTATGTTTTCATGAATGGCTTGTAACAGATCTATAAAACATTTGTAACAATGTTATTTACTGTATATTACAGATATGGCAGTCAATAGAGTGAATTTTTTAGCTGGAATGAAAATAAAAACTTTTTCTATGTGGATTCAAATTCTGCACTATAATGACTAGCAAAGTAGTCAGAAGGCTGCTTTCTTAAGCAAATAACTTTGTAAAAAAATATTTAAACCTACTGCATGGAGTTTTAACTGGTTATGAAACAGTTCACTACTGATGTCTCTATATGACCTGGCTATCTGTCTTCGCCCAGGTCCGATCTGAAATCAATGAAGCGAGGAGGTAGAAACACAACCACTTTTGTGTTGTTGTTTTTTTGAGGCCACCAGATTCAACACAAAATGAAAACGGTCCTATTGCTGCTTTAAGTTAAATATTCATTAACAGGGACAGCGTTAAAACAAGCGGCAACCTCTGTGGCTGGCAAATGAAGCAAACACGGAAGTAACAAAAAACTGCAATTCCTAAATTGGCCATTTGAGGCTGGCTAAAGTGACTAGGCTTCATACAGCCCGCCCTCAGCTCCACCAACTCTCCACGTATTTGCTCGACAAACTACACGATGACACCAATTTTTTGCATTTTATGTTCTGTAAAAAAAGTTTTCTTATCGGTGAAATATAAAGGTACTTACAAAAGTTATCATAAAGTGAAACCAAAAATATCAGTCATAGCATTATATTCATAAAGAAATAAAAGTAACAGCAGGCATTAAAAACATTCAACCATTGCCCTTCCTCTAGTTTGCCACTTTGATTCCTGGTTGCCCTTTTTTGCACCTCTCAGCTGCCAAATGTTCAGGGATGTAATATAAATGATTCATGTCTATTATCTGACAAATAAGCCTATCGTTGTCATTTGGCATGGACAAAAAGACAGAGGAATGAGCAGACGAGAGATGCGTGAAAGAAGCGATGTCTGGGTGAGAGTCGAAACTGCTCCACAAAGGGATTTCACATGGTGCTGAGGCTTCCTCGGGCATCCCACGCTCTTTGTTCATTCTGCCAAGGAAACTCACACAAGTCGACAACCCGCCGACATCACCAGAGAAAGATGATTACAGCTGTAGTTACAGACTGACAGCTTTCTCCAGTCTGCTCGACTCCGCAAGCCTCACCATGGTTACAGAGACACTGACAACAAAAGAAAAAACTGCTTAAAAAAGAGAAATAATTTGTTTTCTCCTTCTCCTCCATCACCTGAGACAGGTGAGGAGGCTATGCATTCTCAATACCACATCTATCCATGCATATAGATTAGGCTGATTTCAGGCTTCTTGTTCTGAAGAGGGACTCTTCAGAACAAGAATTTGAATTTGTGGATGAATACAAATGTTATGAAATATTGCATGCCATTAAAACTGAATATATGTTTTTTTTAATACTTATTAACACAACACATTTTTTATTGTTTTGCTGTCAAGTAGGGTTTCGTTGGTAATGATGTCAGCTGTAGTATTTTGTATCCGTCGTCAACATCCGCAAGGTCGACAATGGGAGCCCAATTATCCACTGAAACTAGGATTACATTGTTAAACATAATAACAGCAGCAAGAGGAAGGAAGACAAATTACAATAGTGTTGCATAATAAAACATATGATTACATTAACAGTTGTGTGAAACCAGACACAGTCTCACATTAGAAGCAGCAAATGTAGAAACTCTCAGTTACTGTCATAGTGTAAAAGTTGATAAAAAAAAAAAGGTGAACAGAATATAATAATAAAAGTGTTCATTTCTGGAGACAATGCACCTATGAAGCTTGTCACTTTGGATGGTTTGTAAACATTTTGTTCTTGGCTACACGTAGCATGAAAGTCTGTTATCACCTGTCATCAGTGACAGGCGGTTGGCCCTCCTTTAAATGACATGTTTGGCTACTGTGTTGTACTTCGGCTCATATACGCTCAGACTTGCTGTGCAGATCTTCAGCTGAATGTCATAATCACTCAAACATGAAAAGGGTAACGCTCATGCAACATGTTTTTTGATATTTAATTGGCTCAGCTTACAGTGATGACTGGACAGATTTATTGAATGTTCACTGTCTTTAGTGTTTTCTGAGGCAATTATCAGCCTGCATCATATGTACTAAATGTCAAAGGTCAGTTGTTCCACGTATGCTTCCTATCCATGTGTAAATTATATACATTACCCTGGCACAGTAAGTGATATTTGTAACTATCGTCATTAAATGCAACAGCATCATAGTGACAGCTTGAAATGATCAACATGCTGAAATAAAATCTGACATTGTGAACTTTCAACTCAACATTCAACTCACTTTTCAAACTCTCTGTTCCCTGTTTCACCTCTGACAGTGGTGATATATTCACTTAAATGACTCCAGGTCTTCAGTCTGACTTTAGATTCAGTTGAATGTGAGAGGGCATTTGCATGTGTATTTCTGAATATTTTGCTGTTTTGATGAGAGAGATTTAAAATCATTGTGACTTTGTACACTGTTCATTCTACTGTTATTGATATTTCAACCATGAAGGAGACATTTTAGATTTAGAGAATTTGCTTTGTTGTCATACCTGTACCAAACACTCCAGTGGAGTTGCTCAGTGGCCAGCAGATCAGACTGTGATTGTACTGGGCAGCTTCCAGGTATGAATGTG